ACACACCCCCTGCTGAACCCCTAGCTCCACTCCCACGGCACCCCCCTTTAAACCCTAACCCTCGGCTCCCACACATCCACCCCCCTCAGCGGCAGCTGCAGCAGTGGGAGACGGAGGAGGAGGAGGAGCAGGGGACGGCGCACACACACGGCACCCCCATAGCTGCCACCCCCACACTCCTCACCCCCAAACCCTAAAAACGGGCGGAACGGGGGAAGGAGCGCGGGGGACGGCGAGGGGGACGGCGCGCGGCCCCCAGGACGCCACCACGGGGCAGCGAGGGGCCGCGCGCGGCTCCCCAGGGCGGCACGACGGGAAATCGGGGGGGGGGGGGGGGGGGGGGGGGGGGGGGCCGCGGGCGACGGGATCGCGGGGCCGCGGGCGACGGGACCGGAGGGCCGCGGGCGACGGGATCGGGGGGCCGCGGGCGACGGGATCGCGGGGCCGCGGGCGACGAGATCGGAGGGCCGCGGGCGACGGGATCGGGGGGCCGCGGGCGACGGGATCGCGGGGCCGCGGGCGACGGGATCGCAGGGCCGCGGGCGACGGGATCGGGGGGGGGGGGGGGGGGCCGCGTGCGACGGAATCGAGGGGCCGCGGGCGTCCCCCACGGTAGGAAACCGCCGCGCGCCTCGGGGCGCACGGCGGGGAGAAACCCGCCGCACGCCCCGAGCGCGCGGCGGGATGAAAACTCCGTAAAAAAAAATTCCGGCAGGAAGGAGGCGTCGCGCGACCAGTAGAACAGCAGCGGAAGCATTTGGTGGTGGGCCCACCCACAGGATCGACCCAGGAGGATCGTCCTGCTCTGATAGCATGTCGAAACAAGCTAGGCAGAAGTTAGGAACAGAAAGAGAGAATGAACTAGCAAGAATGGGGATACAAATAGCAAACCCTAGAAGGGTTGTACTCGCTACAGAGCACCCCACTACAGGCTAGAGCATAATATTCTGACAGAACGATGATGTTTGGGAATTCAGGGCAACTGATCCGTAAATTCCAGGTGTCGTGTAAAACCGTGAGGTGCAACTGGGACTTCTGGAATGAACACCGTGAACGAGGCAACACACCTGCGCGACACAGTACACACGATGCCCGTTTGACTAACCCAAGGTGCCCTTGTGAAGAGGGCTCTTAAGTGATTCTTGCATTTCGCTAAACTTTCGTCAGTTCGCACTTAGCAAAAAGGACCTTTAAATGGTTTTGTAACTCGCTGTTGACCGTTTGACATGGGTCTCTTCTGTCAAACTTCGGTTTTTGTGGTTCGTATTGCTCGAGGTGCTTGTAAATGGGGTGCAACTGGCTGGTACCCTAATACACGGGTGCAGAGTTTCCATCGCGACCAGGGAAAATTCACGTGCAGGGGTTGGGCATCTTGTGTATTTTCTGGTCTGTGCACCCATGCTTGTACAGCGAGCGGTTTCGTACACGATTGTGTAAAAGATTGTTCAAACGGTCAAGTTGTCGTTACGTTGCTGTACCTAAGGACCAAGAAAGGTGGGCTCAGTTGGTTTGGGCTGGGAAGGGATGGATTCTGTAGACGGGGAGAGACGACGGAGGCGTTTGTACAGTTAACGACAAATAAGACTGTACATTCCAGGTGTCGTGTAGTATCGACCTCTCGAACCAAGGAAATCTGGGAATACACCCTATTCGCGATAATTGCACATCCCCTACCTACTTTTTTGAAGGTGCCCTATACCGATTCAGGCTCGATACGACGGACACCTTGAAACTCAGAGACTACCAGTCGACAGTGAGATGCAGTTTCCCTTGAAATTACACCATGTGTTCCGAGTGAGGACGGGTTTGGGTAGGCGCGACTGAAGCTTTAAATGCTTACGTCTATTCGCGACTGGGTTTCGGAACGCCCACCTGCTGTTCAATAATCGCAGCAAACTACCCTGGAAGAAAGTTTGTATCCCGGGTATGTACCCTCAACGGGTTGCGTTTAAGGGATGTAATATTATCGCGAATAAGGTGTACAGTGCAGTACATCCTTTTGCTCGACATCCTCACCAGCGCAAGCACTTGCTAGAGTATTTGGATTTGGCGGGCTCGTGACCAAATCCTAAACTTGACAGTTGCGGGCAAAGTCGCACGAGGCAACGAACAAGCATTGGGACGATAGAATACACACACCCACATGAGATTTTTTCGCGATCGTATTGTCTATGATGGCATCCTCGAGCTCACCGCCATGGCTGCCAGCAGTTTGCATGGAACTCACATTACGTGAAGCATGTTTATCAGCTGGCTTTAATTTTACCGGCTTTGGATTCGCTACACCTTTACGAAGAAGACTATACTTTTTAAGTGTTCATCAGGCGAACATTGATAGGTCTTCTCAAGAGTGTCTCTCGCTGGTTCAAGCTTCTAAGCCCGATGCTAACACGTGGCTTCCTAGGTTCTGGTTGAAGGTCAAGGAACAACCTGAGTTAACTACCATTGGCTGCACAGATGTTACACAACGGGATGATCCCGAAGTGCTATCCTCAACAATGCAACACCTATGTCAAGAGCAATGGTCGACATCAGAAGACTGCCAACTATTTAACATTGATGTGCTCAGATGACCGGCTTATCAGTTCAATCTCCACTCTCATCTTTTGCTGCAAGTGTTTCTGCCTGGTCATTGTCATCATCGCACGATGCCTCCGAAGAACTCGCGCGCTAAGCCGGTCGTTGACGCTCCTGCTGGTGGGAGTGATTCGGCAGGGAAGACTTCGCCAGGCAAGGGGAAAGAGGTTATTGATAATCTTCCGTCGGAAGCGGAAGTGACGGCAGGAAGCTCTGGTCTCACCCTTGAGGAGAAGTTGAAGGCGCTGGCTTCGGTGGTCCCAGACGACTCTTTCATTGAGGATGACTCGGATGAGGAGCTCGACATTGACGTGACGAAGAGCTCTTACCCACATTTGCGCTTCACGGCGATCCTGCTCTTCCCGGTTATTCCTTCCCGCGAAGTTGCTTCGGTCATCCTGACTGTGAAAACGCTGATGAAGCGTGTCTGGTCTAACCTGCTCACAAATGATGTTCTCGCTTCGGCGAAGTTTCAGGAGTTGCTTCCTGCCTTTGTCGCAAAGACCCGCTATAGTCGGCTTCATGTCTCCTTCCTGCATGAATCTGACGCGGTGAACATCAAGCAGACCGCGGTGGAACACAAGCGTCAAAACGGCACGACGATTCACTGCTTCTGGTTGCATCAGGAGGACGCGGCTTACCTTCGCAAGAAGGCTTCGGGCCCGCAGCTTCTGGAAGTTTTCTTCAAGAACGTCCCTGCTGACATCCCGCCGGAGTTGGTTAAGGAGATCATGGTGACTCACCCGCTCAAGATCCGGAAGCAGACCGCTTTCGCCGAAGGCCACTGCTTCCACCGCGTCCTGCACCCGGTCACTGGAGCTGATACGGATAAGGTCAAGGGTTTGGTGGTTCCGCACGCCGGCGACAAGCACCGCTGGCGCCATGAGTTCCGTCATCAGCTGCTGGGAGGAACGACCCTGTTGGCCCACTACCCGTTGCTATCCTGCGCGCTCTGTGGTGGACATCATTATGACAAGTTTCATAATGCTTTCATCACGGAGCGTCAGAATAACATAGGGAAGTGGAGTTTAACCGTGGGACGGGTTCATAGGATCAATGGTAACCGCATCTCACCTTTTCCGGCTTGTCGTTTTGCTTTACCTGCCTTAACGGTTACTGACGCGTCTCTCGCCTCTCGCAGCTGCCTCTCTCCGCGCTTCCCCGCTTATCACCTCGCAGCTTTTGTGCTGATCTCTACTGGGAGCAACCGCGAGGAATGGCCGTGCACCCTCGAGAGCTGCGGGAAGGCCCACGGCAAGTCCTTCATGGCTGCAGCAGATCATATCACGGCGGCAAGCCATCTGCTGGGCCTGGAGAAGCTGGGTGCTGCCACCCGCTGTTCCCTGGAGAGGCTGGGTCTGCATATCATACGCAAGGAATACCAGATCTGAGATCATCACCCGCGCACCTGATGCAGTGTAGTGTTGCTGTGGAGCTGTTGCTTGTTTGTGTAGTAGTAGCCGGTTGTACCCGCCCGTGGATGCGATGGGGCTTGTCAGCAGTGATTAAATGAGTACGAAGAGTCTGTTATCATTTGCAGGCCTGAATGTCAACGGCCTGGGGGACGAGAACAAGCAACAACGTGAAATCATGGATCAGACGTCATTGTGCTAGCTGACGTTAGGCTCTCGGATGATCACACCTTTTGGAAGTCTCTCAACCAGCCTAACACCTTAGTCGCCTCTCCTACCTCCAAAGCCGGGGGTGTGGCTCTTATCTGCCGCAGGCCTGGCCTCTCCCTCCATAACACGCTCGTTCACCCGTCAGGCGGACTTGTCGCGACGGAGTTTCGCCTTGACTCCTTCAGTATCACCCTGCTGGCTGTCTATCTCCCGGCAGATGAAGTCGAAAGAAAGGCTTTCGTCCGCAGGACGCTAGGCCCAGTGGTTGATTCGGTGCAGCCGGGGTCGCACCTGCTGATCCTGGGGGATTTCAACCTGGTAGAGGACCCGCTGCTGGACAGAACGTCAAAGAAGGGGTCAGCAAAAGAGAATGAGGAGCTGTACCAACGGTGCAGCGCTTTCAATATTTCAGACGCTTTTAGGGTGCTGCATCCTTACAAGCGGGAGTTCACCTTTTACTCGTGCGCTAACCAGTCCAGCTCGCGGATTGACAGGGCGCTTATTTCGCAGTCGCTGCTGTCGCACATGGAGTTTGCCACGCACATCATGCCGGTGGACCCGATCTCAGACCACAACTTCGCGGTGAAGGCTGCTTTCAGGATGGATACACGGGTGAAGCTGGGTCCCGGGCTTTGGAGGTTGCCTGCATACATGATTGGTCGGCCGGGGGTCAGAAAGATTATTGAAGCAGTGGAAAGGCAGGTGGCGTCAAACGGAGAAAACTTTGAGCTGCTGATCTCGAGGCTTAACGCCGGCCTTAAATCTTACGTAAAGGAGGAACGCAAGCGGGTTAAAGCCACAATGACCCACCTTCAGGATGCGGTTGCGGCGCTGAAACAGGCGTGGATGGGTAATCCGGGGGACGACCGGCTGAAGGCTTTGCTGGTTGAGAAGGAGTCGCAGCTTCGCGGTTACCAACTTGCGAGGCAGGAGAGGCTGCATGAGATGGCTGGCATGAGCGAGGCGGTGGCTGGGGAGGTCGCATCCCCGTTCCTGTCAGGGAAGATTAAGGCAAGGCGGGAGAAAATGCAGATCAAGGAGCTGAGTGCTGGAGGTGTGACGGTCACTGACAATAAGGCGATTTTGGGGGTTGCGTCGTAGTTCTACAGCGACAGGCAGCAGGTCGAGTCAGGCTGGGTTCCTGCCGTTGGCAGAACGCTGTCGCTGATAGCTAGAGAAAGGCTGACGGCGGCTTGGTCAGAGAAGGAGGTGAAAAGCGCTTTTCATGCGATGGCGAAGAATAAGGCTCCAGGGAATGATGGGTTGCCGAAGGAGCTGTTTGAGGAGCATTGGGATGTGCTGGGTAAGCACTTAATGGCGCTGGTGGAGAGTTTCACCGAGACGGCGGAGCTCCCTGCAAGCACAAAGAGTGCGGTCACTATTCTATTACACAAAAAGGGCGGAAGGGATGCGGTGGAAAATTATCGCCCAATCACGCTTCTGAGCTTCACTTACAAGGTGTTGGCGCGGGTAGTCGCAGACAAAATGAAAAGGGTCTTGAACGAAGTGATCTCACCGGAGCAGTACGGGTTCATGCCGGGCCGGAGGCTCTCGGACGCGGTGGGGTTGGTCGCGGATGTGATTGATGCTGCAAAGAACGAGCAGGCGGACTGGTACCTCCTGCTGGTGGATTTCCAGAAGGCCTTCGATTCAGTCTCGAGGAATTATCTGTTTCTAGTGCTGGAAAAGATGGGCTTTCCCAGCAGGTTTGTCGGCTGGATCAAGGGCCTGCACGAGGAAACACAGACACGCCTGTTAGTCAACGGCTGGATGGGGGAAGTGGTTGAGGTGCTATCGGGGGTGCGGCAAGGCTGCCCTCTCGCGCCGTACCTTTTCCTGTGTGCTGTTGAGCCGTTGGCGTAGGAAGCTGTGAACCGCAGCCTGGGTCTCACAGGGGGTGCTCAGCGGCTGGCTTACCTGGGGTATGCGGACGACACAACGTTGCTCCTGCAAGGGGAGGATCAGATAGCAGAGGCTGAAAAGCTGCTTGATGACTTTGAAAGGGAATCGGGGTCGGCGACCAACAAATCGAAGTCTGCCGTCTTACCTTTGGGCTGTAATCTGAATAAGCAGGCCAGTAAGACGGATGGCTTCAAATGGGTGAAGGCCGATGAGGCGGAGCGTCTGTTGGGGGACTGGGTGACGCCGGCCGGCTGTTGCGCGCCCACTTGGGAGAAGGCTTTTGCAAGGATTAAGGAGAAGCTGAGACAGTGGGAGGTGCAACACCTGACAACCGGGGCGAGGGCAGCGGTTATTAACTGCTACATCTCGCCCATCATCTTCTTCCAGGCGCAGGTATATCCGCCTCCGGTTGACATCTAGGGGAGGGTTCTGAAGCTGACTCACAATTTCATGTCGGGGAATCGGGCCACCACAGACAAAGCTTTCATTCTGTGGAGCAAGGAACTGCTCTACATGGCTAGAGAGGACGGGGGTGTGGGGGTGAATGATCCGGAGATAACCCTCACCTGTCTCACGGCGCGGCGTATTGGACTACTCCTCACCGAGACAAACGAGTTGAAGCGTGACATCATGCTCAAGGCTGCCGATTTGCCGCTGGGGCTGGACACCTTCGTCTCCCATGTCAAGCTCTTGAAGTGCTGGAGTGGGAAGAGCGAGAGATGGAAGCTGGCATGCGGTGACTTCATGCAGTCGCCGCTGGCCATCACATTACCGGTGCTGTCGCGGGAGGAGGCAGAGATGGAGAGGATTGTATTTAACCGTCATATTCTGCTTAACGGAAGGACCCCGGTGGGAGGGCAGAAGGCTGCGGAGAAACTCTGGGAGGTCCGGCTTGGCGACCTACTATGCCCAGACGGCGCGGAGGGCTGGCGGCCCAAAGATGTAAAACTCCTGGCGAAGGAACTAGGCGGCACCAAACAAGCAAAGCTGGCGTGGCGTCTTTTTCACCACATCTTCCCTGATTCTTGTACCTCTTTCTCTTCCCCTCGTTCCATCCCCAACTCTCCACTCTGTCCCTGCTACTTTATATCGTCCCACCCCCTACCTTCGCCAGCACTGCTGAACCTCAAGTCGTCGCTGGGCGTGACTTTCACCTCGTGGGCAGCAACTGTGCCGTGCCAAGTGGTTGGCAAGCAGGCTGCCACACAGACCACGTGGTCCGGCATGCTCTGCAGTGATACCGCTGAAGTGATTTCGCTGTGAGCACCCATTGTTTAAGTTTGTAATCTCACGTGCAATGTCCCTTTTGACTCTGGCCTTTTGTGTAAGCGGGTTTTTACATCGCTGAAAACATCTTAGATCAATTCTCTTGATATTACCCTCTATGGATAGTCATCTTCCTCTCATTCCTTCTTCCTGATTCTCCTATCACTCGCCTCAGCTCGTTGCCACGTCAGAGCCTGAAGGGGTCCATTCATGCAGACACCTCCGTACTCACCGCTCTCACTTACCTATGAGGCTCGAATGGGGAGTGCTTCCTGTAAGGCAGAGCCATGTTTTCTTGCCAAGGTAGTGTTGTGTTCCGGTTGGTCGTTAAACTCTCTCTGGACAATAATTCTCTGTTTTTTTATTCACCACACACAAGTTAGTATTCCTAAATCACTCCTATTCCCAACTCTACCCTCGCCGCTCACCCCAGTGACCTTGGCTACAACCTCTTCCAAGGCCGCCTTGACTCGTTCTCTGCGCCACTTAAGACTGTGCCCAACCTCAAGACGCTGTGAGTACCAAACCTCGTGTCTATTGGGCTACTTGTCTATCAGCCTCTCATGTTCCCTAGTAACAACTTGCTAGGATCTGCCCTTTCAAAATACACTTTCTGAAGGTATTTTCCGTTTCGTTTCCCTTTCATCTCTCCTCATTCTTCCCTTAATTTCATCTCCTTCCCACCCTTCCAGATTTCTCCACTACAACTGGTTTGCGGGATTCATCCCCTCCTTCATCGCCTCGTTGCCAAAACTCACCACGCTGTGAGCAGCACGCACAGCTTGAACGATCCATGCTGGCTTACACAAGCCTGGTTGTTGAACCCTTGCACCTCGCTCACACTCGCCCCTTGTTCCTTGATCCCACTCACATCGTGCTCGTTCACCCTTCCCTTCCCACCTCGTGCCTGTGTTTCTCCCCAGAGGCCTCTTCTCCAACTACCTCACGGGCACCATGCCCATCCCCTCCACCTCCCTGGTCGCTCTGGACGTGGGCTTTAACTTCCTCTCGGGCTCCTTCCCCCAGCTCTCTCTCAAGAGTTGTGCGGCCGACCAGAACTGCTTCCTCAACTCCTCCTACTGCCGTTCCTCCAGCCAGTACCAGCGCTCTGCCTCCGACTGTGCCATCTGCGGGTCTGGCGACAGCCTGTGGGAGCTCTGCTATTGTGGGGTGTGCGGGCCTGACAATGCTGATGCAGTCAGTGCGGGGACTGTAAACTCCCCCACTCTTCCACCGGTCCCCATGAAGTGCCTTGGTGAGTGCGGCTTTGCCCTCTTTCCGAATGAAACGGACAGCAAGGAAGAATCTAATTCAATACAACGGAAACCTTTCTGGCTGGAACATTTTTGCTCTCCCGACCCGTCTTTTGCAAACACTCTCTGGTGGGCACTGGCTGGCAGATGCATGACGTTTGTGGTGTCAAAGTACCAAGCCTTGCAATGCCTTTCCTGCTCTACTCTCGTTCACGCCATGCAATGCTTTTCCTGCAGCCTTCTTCTGGATGGCTTCTGCGTTGCACACAGGACGCCGGCTGGCTGGTTGCCTATCCCATCCGTATTTCTACTGTCCTGCTGCTCCAGCAGTGCCTCAAAACCCCTCTACTCTCTGTGCATATGTTCTTCTCTGTGCCTGCGTTTGCCCATACGCATGTGTGTGATTGGATGTACTCCTGTTTCTGTCTTTACCCTCTTTGTGGCTGTACAGGTTCGCCTGTGGTCGCAATGAATACTGACTCAGGTGAGCATTCTCTTCTATAAGCGCACCTTATCATTCTACTGCAATCCCAACCCCTTTGTTTCTTGTGCACCTTCCTTTATTTTCAGCCTCTTTTGAACAGCCTCCCCTTCCCCCTACTCTGTTCTGAAATCCCATATCAAAAACACACACATTTTATCTTCTCTATTCTCTGTTCCATACCTCCTCCTCCTCCTCCTCCTCCTCCTCGTCCTCCTCCTCCTCCTCCTCCTCCTCCTCCTCCTCCTCCTCCTCCTCCTCCTCCTCTTCCTCCTCCTCCTCCTCACCATCATCCCCCTTTCTCCATCCCCATCCCAGCATCGGCTCTACTGAGCGTGAAGTCATCTTTGGGAGTCACCGACACCACCTGGGTCGCCGCCTCTTCCTGCACCATCGGCAATGCCGAAACCAGCCTCCCAGACACCTGGAATGGCGTGGGCTGCTCCGTTACTGGGGCTGTCATCAGTCTGTGAGTGCTGCGGGTTACCACGATCGAGTGAGTGGCCAGGATATTGCTTTCTAGAATAAATGGCGGAAGCTGTGAGTGGTGCTGGTTTGACTGTGATTTTGATAGTCGCGGTGGCTACTACAAGCTAGGACATTGCTTTGCAGAATAAAGGGCAAAAGCTGATTTTCTGCAGCTCCAGCATGCCTGACTCGCTCCTGGATTGACCAGTTCCTTGAAGTTTGGAAAACAGAATACACAAAGATGGTCTGTATCTTCACTAATACGTCTTATTTCTACATCTCATCCCCCTCTGTCTGTCATGTGGTCGTGTTGTTTAACATGGGCTCATTCCAGAGACTCAAATAGTCCCACTTGGCCTGAGGATTCTCCCCTCTTCCACACTCCTCCCCTCCCGCCCCTCCCCCTTTCCCCTTCTCTGGTGGTGCCATTACACTGCTCTCGGCTCTGTTTAGGAACGTGACTTCCATGGGCCTTAGTGGCAGCGTGCATGCTGACATCTCTAAGCTCACTGCCCTTAGATCCCTGTCAGTTCCCCTCCCCACCTGACTCTCACAAAAATTCCTCTTCCCCTCCTCTATCTGTCCTCGTTCTTCTCCTCTCTCTCCCCTCGTTCTTCCTTCTATCTCTCATTTTCTCCATCGACCTCTGCCCAACTGTCATAATCCTTTTCCTGCTTAGACTAGGGAAATCTTGCTGCTTCCGCAGTCCTCCATTTCTGCTGCTTTGTAACATCTATCCCATCCTTTATTTCACCTGCTCTTTATCTAATCTGAACCCAGAAATCCAACTGTCCACAAATTATGATGCGCATCCAAACAACCTCAATGTTGCTTCCATCCTACGCCCCCCTCTCGCCCTCCTTCCCCCAATGCCTCAGGGACCTGTCGAGCAACTTCTTCCGCCAGAATCTCGCCTCATTCACGTCTGGCTTCTCCAAACTCCAGGCCCTCAAGCGCCTGTGAGTGCCGCCCGTGATGAGAGAGAGACACACACACTTCCATCCCATGTTCTTGCTTTGCTCATGAGCGCTCATGTATCCACCATTACTGTCCAATTTTTTTTCCAAGCCTTTCACACATCACAAGTACCTTCCCCTCCATTCCCTGCTTCCACTTCCTTATCTCCTACCTCTGCTTTCCTCATTTTGCGCCCTTGCCATATTCTGCTACAATTACTCATTCTGCTAACGTTTCCCATTTTTAACGATTGCCTCTTCCTTGCCTCCTTCCTCTCCCTTTCCTCTTTCCTCTTTCTCTCCTTTCAGCCATCTCAACAACAACTGGTTTGTGGGCTCCATTCCACCTGCCCTCGTCTCCCTGCCCGCCCTCACTGGCCTGTAAGGAGCTCTACGTTTCCCATCATGCGCCCATTCCTTTCGCCATCTTATATGAACTGCATTGTGGCGACAAGTCGTGTACAATGTGCCATTGTTCCTGAAATCCACGCTCCCACCCTAGGCGCCCACTTGGGACATTGTTTTGAAATTAACTGCACACACACTGCATGGCCCTGGGGTCATCTGACACGCCACCAACTTCCGGATCACAATCTAATTCAGAGTACATGCCACCGATTTGTAATCTTGTCTCTCATTGCAACCTGTCCATCCCAGTAAGGCTACCTAACAACTTACATCCACTACCTACCTGCAGGGACCTGCACACAAACGCACTGACCGGCACGGTGCCAGCCCTGCCCACCTCTCTCCTCTCCTTTCACATCCAAGACAACTTCCTCGCGGGAAGCTTCCCTGCAGCCTCGCTGACGAGCTGTGATGCGAGCAGCAACTGCCTGGCGGATGCAAGCGAGTGCAGCGAGGAGAGTGTTGTGTCTCAGAGGGATGCCGACACGTGTTCCTTCTGCGAGTCGCAGGATGGGACGGGCGTGCTGTGCTTCGGAGGGTCATGCTTGCCAGATGTGGATAACAGCACCGTGCATGATGATGGCATGGACCCTCCTGACATGTACTGTATTGGTAAGTGATCAACGATTCCGGCAGTGCCTTTCATGGCATGATGTGGCAGTGTGTGCATTAAGGAATCTCGTGTATCGAAGAATCACTGTTAAATATATGCTTGTCTATCCTTCTCGACTACTCAAAGGCTCCGTCCATCCATCTCTACTCTCATCTTTTTCTGCCCTCATAGATTTTCTCATTCTTGCCTTCTCTCCCTACCACTTCCCACTTCAGAGGCACCGGTCGTCACAATCCATCCTACCGATGGTGAGTGAGACAGTCCGAGAGGCACAATTTCGCTCAGAGGAATGCGAGCATGCTGTGATGTGGCAAGTTTGAAACACTCTTCTCAAAGTTCAATGTGGTATGCCTTCTTGACTTCTTCCACTGCCCTCACTCCATCCTGCCAGCCCTCCTCCCTGCCCATCTCCTCTTTCACAAAATCGGTTACTCAACCTTCTATCTATTATCTGTGCTGCTCCTCCCTCCATCACCCCTCCTCACCCTTCACGCCCCTCACCCCAACTCTCACAGCGCAAGTGCTTCTGGCAGTGAAGGCCGCGCTGGGGGTGACATTCACAACGTGGGGGCCTGACATGCCGTGCACCACGGCTTCTGCCGGGCCAACCATTGAAGGCACCCTCCCTGGCGTGTCCTGTGACCCTTTTGGCAGAATCCGCACCTTGTGAGTCCTCACATCAGCTTGTGGTCATCATTAACACTACTGCTTCTGCTGTTGCAGCTAATTATTCCTCCATTGCTGATCATTCCATTCCACTTCTGCTGGTAATTTTACTCGCCACCTGAGCTAATCAGTTGCGATGCCACCACCATTCT